TCAAAGAGCCACCGCAGAGGCCGCCTCCCGTTCTCCCCGCTTCTCTACCGATCCCGACCATTCGCGAAGCATGGAAAAGCATGACAAAAGACCAACGCATCCATTGTTACTGGAGTATGTGCCATCTTGCCGTGGCTACATATGTTTTCTTCCGTTCAGAAGGGTCCCTTGCTACAACAGCCCTCTCGCACCTCGTCTTTTTTGACGCTGGTAGCGCTGCTGTCTGTGTCATGGTTGATGTCCTCGGCAATTTTGAAGTTTGGCGACGTAGCAGTATCCGACACCCTTTTGGCCTCGAGAGAGCAGAGGTCCTTGCTGGGTTCGCCATGTCTGTTTTCCTTCTTTTTGGAGGATTTGACTTGATCTCTCATACTCTCAAGCACTTCCTGGAGTCTCTTGGTAGTCATGAGGCTCATCATGAACATGGTCATGAAGGCCCAGATGGCTCTGTTGACCTTGTATCTGCTGCCGCAATGGTGAGCACACTGGTCTCGGCATATGGCCTTCGAAACCATGCTCGCATTGCTAAACTCATGCGTGTCTCGTACCTTGCTTCTCTTCCAAGTGTTCTTTCCAACCCTTTCCACTTCCTCACACTGTCCTTCTCCGCTGTCATCGCTCTTCTTCCCCTACTCTCTATCTCGCTCTACACATGGCTCGACCGCCTCATCTGTGTCGTCATTGCTTTTGCCATGTTTGCTCTGGGAATGAGACTCGCCGTAGCTCAGGGTCTGATGCTACTGATGTCTTATGGCGGCACTGGAGGCAACAACGGTGTCAGTGCCGTTCTGAGAGAGATTGAGACCGAACCTAGCGTGGTGACCATCGATGATGCCCAGTTCTGGCAAGTTCACTATGGCCTCTGCATGGCCAACCTCAAGTTGAGTGTTGTTAAGGGCTACGATGAAATGTCACTCAGCAAGCTACGGCAGCGTATCTCCGCCTTGATTCAGAACAGATTGGGCGAGGGATACGGCCATGGCGGCAGTATTCGATGGGAGGTGACATTACAAATGACCACTGAAGGTAGTACATAAGAGCAAGGAGCTTTCTGTTGTTGGAATAATAATGATAAATTCTGTACATGATGATTTACACAGTCATATATATCTGGAGAACATAAAATATAGCGTCATTTTAGTAGTTATCGTTATTTGAGTAGACTGTACTATTCAATGTTATTGAGGAGGGTATCCTGGCGCGCAATCAAGCACTTCTATACACATCCTCATACAACGTGCCCTCTGCATCCGCCTGCCATCAATCGGTTTTGCATACATATATATGTTGACAAGATACAGTTAGAGAGACCAACAAGTCCCCCTTAAGCATACCCAACAACCGCGTTCCTCAGGCAATTTTGTCTTGTCTTTCTGGTTGCGGTAATATTCTAAAATCAACAACCAAGCATTCAACTCCTTACTCCCAGTATGACCTCATTTCTCATTTTTAAAGGGGAAGCCTATTTAGAACAGACCCCATCGGCTCTGCTTGCGGTCCCGTCGCGAGCCGGAGTTTCCTTTCTCGCGATCGCGGCCCTCAAGCTGTCGTAGACTCTCCATCTTCTCAAGGACCAACTCAAGCAGCTCCTTGCGGCGAATAACCTCCAAGTGTCTGCGAATCTTGGGATCCTCCTTGGCGAACTTCTCAATCTGATCCTCGGACAGGTGACGTCCTAGGCGAAGATCAAGCTCTCGGGGAAAGTTGTAGTAGAACTCGGAAAGGAGCTCAACATTGAGAAAAAGAACGGCAGTAGATGCTAGCTTAGTGGCAGCAGCATCGAGGAATACCTCGGGGCAGTAATACTTGTTCTTGGGGTCAGCACACTGCTTAGACTTAACAGCCAGCAGGCGCATCTTGATGATGTCAGCTCTGTCGCGCAAGAAAACAGCCTCACGTCCTGTAAATTCGTTAGTATCTAGCCTTTTGGGAATTTGTGGTCAACTTACCCTTGCTCAGGAGAGCAGCGCTGAAGCCGCCAGCGCCGCTACGGTTGTCACCTTCAACAGCGACCTCACTCTTGCGTGCCTTGTCGACAAAGGCCATGACTTCCTTGATCTTTCGGCGTCCGCCGACGCTATCTTCCAAGTTCTTCATCGCCTTCTCGCAATCCTGGAGTTCCTTCTTGAGTACACCTCCAACGTGATCACGACCCTTTGTCCACTCCCGATCCTCAAGTTCAATCTCAAACTTGTAGGGCTTGATACAGTTTTCCACTTGGTCGCTGGTGCTGTAGAATCTCTCGTTCAAAATAGTAGAGGCAGCCTCCATGATGGCCTGTCGGGCGAAGGGGTGGCTAGCGAAGCTGGAGTTGCTGATAAGGGAGTCGATGTGAGCCTGGATAGAAGACGCAACTGCTGTGGTGGCCAAACGTCCAACACCAAGCTTCGTAAGCGCGGATGTGGAGGCATCCAATTGTCGGTGCCAGTAAAGGGAGTCAGCAGGAGCCTTGGGAAGATCGGCAAGGTTGTCAAGGTCGGGATTGATGGGTGAAAGGTCATCGATGGGCTTGTTCCAATATCTGGCAGCTAATAAATCGAGAACCTTCTGGTCGAGCTCGTGCTTCAGAAGCTCATGCATCTGAGGGCGGCCGAACTCCTCTGCAAATTGCTTGAAAGAGTGCTTGAAAGCGTCAAGGCTCTCCGCAAGGTAAGACTCGGCTGAAAGAGGTCGGTCGTTGTATTGGACCTTGAACTCGTAAGTGGCCTCCTCGAGTTCTTGTCGAATAGCATCACTGGTGCTTTGTAGGCTGCTCGACATGGTCTGTTCCAAAACGTGCATAAGCTTCTTACGCAACGTGGGGGTTCCAACATTGACACCGGCCTCAGAGCCGAACTCCATGGGGTGAGATGAGAAGAAAGCTTTCTCGTGTTTGACGATTTGTGAGAGTAGGTTAGTGTTGCCCATCTTAAAGAGGCCCTGGTTCTGAGGAGCCTTAGGAACAACACCAACATAACCCAGTCTCAGAGGGTATTGCTGGTCGTTCAAAATGCTTGCTCCACGGACAGGGTCAACCAAGTCCATCTTGGTAATAACACCGATAGTTCGCTCGCCTCGGGGATCAACTCGGCGAGATGCTCGAAGAGCAGTGGAATTTGCAAGATCGACATCTGCAGCTGAAATGGCGAGGATGACATTAGGAGGCTGAATGTACTTGTCGCAGAGTTCGGAAATCTTCTGCTTCAGTTCCAGAGGCTGGTTTTGTCCCACAACTTGGATGTAGCCAGGAAGATCGATAAGTGACAGGTCGGGAACGTTGGGGGAATAAATTGTAAGATGAATCGGGTCGTCGGAGACACACTGGCTACCAGGAACGGCAAGGTTAAGTTCAGTCAACGTTCGCTGAATAGATCCGAAGTCGGAAATACGCCTCAATCCGAGATCAGGAAATTCACCATACTCCTCCCTGGATGAGGGTGTGTTGACAAGTGTCAATTCGATCGGCCTCCTTGTAACCATATTGGACCCCTTGGGAAGAAATTCGTGGCCTACGATGGCCTCCAGGACGGAGCTCTTTCCCGAGGACTGAGAGCCGATAACCACGATAGAGGGGAGTGTGAGGGTGCTTGACTGGTCAACTCTCTGGAGAATGCTTCGGATCTCGATCATCTTCTTGGTCAGAACCATCATTTGGTCATCCTTGGCCGCTTGTTCGCCGTTTCGAGGGTCCTCTTCATCCGACTTGTCGTATCCGTAGGCGGCGGCTGAGGCACCAACAGCAGCTGCGGCACCGAACTTGCTCTGCTTTGGCTCACCACCACCGCCCGAACCTCCCGAACCGCCAGTACCGATATCTTCTTGAATTTTAAATAGTTGCTTGGCCCAGTCGGGTAATTCTGCTTTTTCTTTCGTGCTTTCCCATCCTCGGTTGACCTGATCGGCGATATCCTTGGCACCTCCGAATAAGCTCGAAGCCGTACTCGATATGGTATCTGTAGTTGTGTTGAATAAATTCACGGCGAACGTACCGGCCTCTGCGTTATATTAGTAAAACCGTTGGCAACTTTGTTATCCAAGTCTTGACGTACGGGCAGCTTGGTATTGTACCCAAGCAAAAGCACCAATGGCCACACCGCCAAACATTGCCGGCACCCTTAGAAATTTGACCATCAGCTTAGGTAAAAACCTCGCGAAGGAGGCATTCCTCGTAGTAACAGCATTGTGAAATGCATTTCCACCCTGCCACATTCGCTTTTGGGTGGCTCGTATCGCAGCATCGGCTTGAAGAAGTCCGCCAGTAGATTGGCGATGCAGGTGTCTAACGGGAAGAACCGCAGCGCGGCGTGGGAGAGGCCGTAGCCCTGCAGCGAGGACTCGTCCGCTCATGATTGTCGCTGGCCGTTTTGCAATAGTTCAAGATCAAAGTCTTGATGATGAGGGCCGACGACGCGCCCGAGTTGTTGGTGACAATGACCGAGGCAGGCGAGGAGCATTCAAGGTCGGGTGAGTTGAGCCGCTTTTTAATGTGGTCTGTTCTCCCGATAACTTCTGATATCATTCGTGCCGCCATTTCGAGAACGAGAAGCTAATGCGGGAGTTAGGTAATCAGCCCCACTACATTTCATGGCGGCTTATCGGCGCTGAGTTTACTGATAATCTTGTCAAGCATTTCGGCAATTGTCAAAAGCAAGGTCTCAAAAACCATCATCTTTCTTGTTCGAATAAGAGGCAAAGTACTGCCCCAAGGACCCAAAACTTGACCCATCGATCGCCCATGATATCAATATCGATACTATAATTGATCTATGTCCCAGAAACAAGGGACTAGGCTTTCGTCTTATCGGCACGTGATTGGCTTATCGGTCGCAAAATTTCTGGTGGGGCCAAACTTTTTTGAGTATTGAGAAGATCGTGTGTCGTCCTGCTACAACATACTCAACATAACTTCCTCAATACCGCTTCCTTGGTACCACGACCTTGTCTATACTGCCAGAACTCTCATATGAAGCCCGGAGTCTACGAATAAGGGCTTTCGAAGAGAGTTACTGCAAGTCACCAAGATGGCGATCCAGAAGAAGGTAAGTCAACCAATCTTTTCTTCAGCGAGCAGCCTAACAATGAACTTAGCATGGCAAAGGGCGTCTCGACAAGTGGTACAAATTAGCAAAAGAAAGAGGATATCGAGCCCGCGCAGCTTTTAAACTGATTCAGCTAAACAAGAAGTATGGCTTCCTCGAGCAGAGCAAGGTCGTCATTGATCTTTGCGCTGCACCTGGCGTAAGTCTTATGATCACCCCCATCCCATGGCTTCTTAGTAACGACCTCAAAAGAGTTGGCTTCAGGTGTGCTCTGAGATTATGCCTCGCTCGAGCTTGATAATAGGTACAGATTTGACGGCTATCAAACCAATTGCAGGCGTCTTGACATTCCAAAGCGACATAACGAGTGATGCGTGCCGATCCACGCTTAGACAGCACTTGAAAACGTGGAAGGCCGATACCGTGATACACGACGGAGCTCCCAACGTTGGAACCGCCTGGGTACAGGACGCTTTCGACCAAAATCGGCTCGTACTCGAGAGTTTACGTCTGGCTACGGAATTTCTGAAGGAATCTGGAACCTTCGTGACGAAACTGTTCCGCAGTCGTGATTCGAATGCCCTTATCTGGGTTTTCAACCAGCTATTCGACAAGGTGGACACAACGAAGCCGCCCTCGAGTCGTGCTGTGTCAAGTGAAGTGTTTTGCGTATGCCGTGGATACAAGGCTCCAAAGCACCTGGACCCGAGATTCCTCGACCCTAAGAGCGTTTTTGCTGAACTGGCTGGCCCGACACCGAATAACGAGGCCAAGGTCTACAACCCTGAAGTCAAAAAGCGTAAGCGAGATGGTTATGAAGAAGGCGATTACACGCAGTTCAAGGCGATGCCTGCGTCAGAGTTCATACAAACAACAGACCCAATCGCTGTACTTGGTTCATACAACTCCTTGACTTTTCAGCAACCACCCAATGGAGATGTTGCGTTGGCGGCACTTGACAAACTTCCCGAGACAACAGATGAAATTCGAAACTGTTGTTCAGATCTTCGGGTACTGGGACGAAAAGACTTTAAACTTCTGCTCAAGTGGCGGTTAAAAGTTAGAGAGCTGTTTGGATTTCAGAGCAAGACTACTCCAGCCATTGAAGAATCGGAAGAAGTGGCTGAAGTTGAGCCAATGGATGAGGAGCTAAAGATTCAGGAAGAACTTCAAAACATGAAGGAACGAGAAAACACGAAACGAAAACGAGAAAAGCGAAAGGAAAATGAGCGAAAACAACGTGAGGTAGTGCGCATGCAACTCAACATGGGCACACCTTTTGACATTGGTCTAGAAGAAAGTGGACCAATTGGCGAGGGGGCAATGTTTTCACTCAGGAAAGTCGACAAGACAGATGCCATGCGGAGATTGAATCGTGGCAAGATGATTGTTCCCTCTCAAGCGACCCGGAAGGAGGCCGACAGTGGCCTTGGCTCATCAGGAGAGACGGATGATGAGAGTGACCCTGAAGAAGATCGCCTGGAGCGAGAGCTTGAGTCCATGTACGACCAATACAAAGAGCGCAAGGCTGAGGTTGATGCAAAATATCGAGCCAAAAAGGCCCGTAAGAATTTTGGTGATGATGAGTGGGATGGCCTGTCTGGCGAGGAAGCGGATGAGAAAGATGGTTCTTCGGAGCTTGAGGAGGACAATTCCTCTTCCGACGAAGAAGACGAAGCTCCTGCAGAGGGACTCATCCGCGATCTGGATCCTTCAAAGGGGGCGAACGGTTTATCGAAGCGAGCAACAGCTTTCTTCAACCAAGACATCTTCTCAGGCATAAGCGGGATCTTACCTGAGCAGGAAGATGCTGCCGAAGACAGTGTGGACGAAGAAGTCAACCGAGATGCGGCAGCTATTATGGCCCAGCAAGCAAAGAATCGCAAAGCTGAGACTCCTGCTAAGTCTACCAAGACCAAAGCGGCCCAAGTCGACTCTGACGCTGAGATGGAGGACGATGAGGATGGGTTTGAGGTTGTCAAGCGAAATGATGATGACGATTGGGACAAAGGCACCCGACGAGCCGATGGAAGACCCGGTAAGTACAAGACTTCTCAGACAATGGCGCACAGCACTAACAGCTACGCAGATATCGATATTATCACTGCTGAAGCGATGTCTCTTGCCCACAGGCTCGCTACTGGTCAAACGACAACACATGATGCTATTGATGACGGTTACAACAAGTACGCCTTCCGCGATAGGGACGGATTACCAGACTGGTTTGTGGAGGATGAGTCACGACATGATAAGCTTCAGAAACCCATCAGCAAGGCTGCTGCGCAGGCGATCAAGGAGAAGATGCGAGCTTTCAATGCTCGCCCCATCAAGAAGGTGCGCGAGGCTAAGGCTCGCAAGAAGTTCAAGGCCGCACAGAAGCTTGAGAAGCTCAAGAAGAAGTCAGAATTACTCAACAATGACGAAAATATGACCGAGAAGGAGAAGGCTGCCAGCATCTCGCGCCTTATTTCGAGAGCAGCAAAGAAGCCCCAGAAGCAACTGCCCAAGCTCGTTGTCGCCCGCGGTCTCAACCGGGGCATCAAGGGACGTCCTAAAGGGGTTAAGGGGAGGTACCGCATCGTAGACCCCAGGCAAAAGAAGGAATTGCGAGCGCAGAAGAGGATTGCCAAGAAGAAGAAGTAATCATGGGTGGCAACGGGATGAGGCGTGGATATAGATTTGGTGTTTTGGTTTTTTGTTGTGTGGGGCGGATTTCTAGACTATTTTCTATTTCCCAAGCTTATATCACGAACAAAAGTCGATGTAGGATAAAGTGGACCTGCAAAGTCCAAGTCATACCTAGTTTAAGGGTTCTGATTAGCATTGTAGGGGCAATCAAAAGTATATGGTTTGGTACCAGTAGTTGACAGCGAGGACGAACCCTTCGTCTTCCTCGGCGCACGATTGGAGCACTTTGTGATACCTAGCCGATGCAAGTAATTAATGTTTAGCGGAAAAAACAGGCTTGTAAAATGACTTACCACATAGCAGGAAGATATAGCATGTCCCCGGGCTCTAACGTGACTCGTAAAGGCCGGGCAAGATGGGAGAACTTTGTTGCATTTTGTTCAGGTGTATCCGGATCCCAAATTGCGAAAGGAACAGCTTCATCATCAGGATCCATCTTTAGCTCCATGCCAATATCTCCGCGCGTGTACGTTGCGGGCTTGAGAGGTTGCTCGTTGACGCAGGGGTGGCATAAAGAAGGCAGTAGAACGAAGTGCTTTCGTCCCAGAATCTGTACATAAATATTTTCGTAATTGTCTTTGTGCATAGCTGTAACAGATTTGGAGTTACCAATCCAAAGGTTTACGGCATCGGGGCTCTTGTCGAGTGCTATTCTTGCAAAAGGGATGTCCTTTTGTACATCCGAGAAGAGAGTAATGTACTCTTCGCGCAGGTTGTCATTTTCTCGAGAACAATCAGTAAAGCCTCTAAGAGACAAGTAGACTAACTTACGAGTCTGGGCATATCGCACTTCGGCATCGGGAGGAAAGTCAGGATCTGCGCCCTGACGTGCTACATACTCAAGTAGCTCTTCAAAGGGTTGATCCTCATAGTGAGGCTTTGCAAAGACCAATGATTCTTCACCAAGTGGCACGGTAGGCATATCAGCATTGCTGTCAGAGTCAGCGAACAGCTCCTTTCATTACTCATATCTAGCAGAGGGAACTAACCCATATGGCGTGACAGCAACATTCACATTCTGCCCTTTCATCACAGAGAGCAGATACGCAGAGTTCCAATTCTGACAGGCTTTCCATGACGAAGCCCCGCCCCTTATCACGAATGGTGTGTTGCGAGCAACATATCGCATGAATTCTAGGGGACTTGGTTCATCGTGGAGCTCATCAATACTGTTGCTGTTGAGTTCGTTGAAGGTGGAAATGAGATTCTCAATGGCTTCGTCCGTAGACAAGACATTGCTTCTTGACATGTTTGCAGTTGAAACTGCAAAGGCACTTCTTACGGTGTTGCCGGATCATTCGTCATGTAAGAATGTCAAGGTGAGGTTTGGCAGATTAACAGATGGGCAAAATGAAAAACTCCGACATCGAACCTCAAATTTGGGGTTCAGCGAATCATCTATCTGTATGGGGTACAATATTATAGGAAATATCTCTCTAATATAGTAGTTGATAATCCAATAAATTACATTGTAGCGATCGAAGGAAATTTGAGCTCCGTATTGATGTGTTTGTGCAATATTAATTATGACTACCTACCCAGGTTCTTTTTGCAGATATCTAATGCTGTTACGATTATCATGCTAAGACATTGATCGGTTGACAATTCGTTAATTCTTGTTTAAGTAATGAAGCAATCTTTTGAACTATCTTCTACTTGACCTAATTATTTGGAGGAAACTTAGAAGCTCAAGACCTGTACTATAGGGTTTCACCTGTTAGGTTTCAGTTGACATTTAAATAAATATGCCATTGTGTTGTACTCCGCATGACTCGAGAATTTGAATTTGGGGAAAGATGCTTATGTCATCATTTTCAGTCCTTAGCTCATGCGGCTCTTTGAGCCCTCCACCTTTTCAGGTCCCGCCATCCCCACTTCATCATTCTTTCGTGCAGCAACAAGATCTTTCTGCTGGGGCTCATCAGTTCAATTCGCCCCAGACCAATTTCGTCAAGTTTTTTTTTTACGCGTCGCATCGACTTGAGAATGAACTATAGGATACATGTGATAACATGGCATCCGAGCTCGAAGGCTTGATCGGGGGCCTTTTGGTTCATATATCATGCCATGGCGAAGAAGGCAGGTTCATGGATTGATTATTTTAATTCTTGCCGCTACTCAAGTACCAATCACTAACTACTTCACTCTAGGCTGTCCCGTGGATGGTATTTTGAAAGCCATACATCATCCATCAACCAAGACAGAATCAATATCTGAGGGTGATTCCGCTGTGCAAGCCCGCACTGCCGCAACCATTTGGAGCTGGCTCACTGCGAGACGGGATATTTCTGTCGGCGCTGATCGCGAGTACAATCACCTAACTCTAGACCAAGTGCTGGCGCTTTCAACTGCTGGCGACACCCCTGGACAAAATGCAGAACCAACAGAACCCCACCATGTTCGGGTCTACGCCTCTGAGGATACCATGTGGGAGTCTCTTACCGGCCATGCAGTTGACTACAAGCGAGTCCCCAAGTCTGAATGGATGCTACTGTTGGGCATAGCCTCAACTACTACCCAAGGTATTCTTCAGGGAGATCTTGGGCGTCTGACAGATCAAGACAAGCGCAGTGTGCCAAAAAGAACCGATAGTCTCCTTAAGAAAGGATACATTGTCAAGAGAACAACACTTGTACGCGGCACAAAGACGAGTAAAATGTGGCTGAAGCTATTCGCTCCGCCTTTACCAAAAGATGGCGAGGGTGTAGACGAAGCCCGGCCAGACATGACACTAACTCGGCAAGTCCTTGTCGAAGATCTCGAACCCGTCCCTTGGCGCGTGCGATGGACTGGCGAGTCTATCGACTATATTGCGTTGGCAACAACCATTATGGCCATCGTCAAGGAGTGGGGAGTCCTCCAGATGAAAGATATGAAATCCAAGCTTGGTGTGCTGGGAATGCGTTGGCAAATGAAGGTCTTGGCCAAAGTGTGTCGCTTTCTAAATCAGCGAGGCGTTATCCAATATGTAGCAGCGAAGCTGGGAGAAAAGGTATTCAAGGACTGTGTCAAATATGTCCGAGATCTCAACGCAGAAGATTGGTCCCTGTATCTTTCAACAGGCAAGAGAAAGAGCAAGACTCCAAGGAACCCGGATCTGGATGGTTATGATGGGAACAAGCAGCTCATAGGTCAAGCCTCTAACGTTTCCGAAGTATCCAAATCACCGCCTTGGTCTTTGGACAAGCCGATTCCTGTTATAATTGCCGAGATGGCAAAACGCCTAGGAGATGTTGGACTTACAAACCCGGATGTTTATGCCTTGACGTTAGGCCCTTCATACAGCCGACATCTATCCTCAATGACCACAGCATTAGCGGTTCCTGGCCTACAACCACCTCACCTGGCCCATTTTCAGATTTATAGCGAACATACGAGATCTGGAAAGGTTGCCTCTTATCGTTACTTTGCACCAAACGCCCCTCAGACACCAGCTGATGCCGCTGACCAAGAATCAACACCGACTCCGGCAGATGTCTATGGTTTCTCCTCACTGCCCTCGTCATCGATATCTCATGAGAACTCGCCAACATTGGCTGAGCTTTGCAGCATGGGAATGGCCAACAGAAAATCAGTGGGCCGCCCTAGGGCCTTCAGAGCTAAGAAAGGGAAGCCTGCACCAACAAAAAAGGCAAAAAGAGGCCGAAAACGACGTGTTCTAACACCAGAAGTTCCACCACAAGAGGAGGTTATGCAAGAGGATGAAGCCGCCGAAGAAGTGGTCGTCCCGCAGGTTCCAGAAACAATTGTTCAAGAACCCGAGTTACCTCCAGAGATACCAGCACCTGAATCACTGGCGCCACCTGAAATTGATGAAGACCAGCAGGATGATGCTGAATCTGAACCTCATAAGGCTGCTACCCTTGTGGTGACTCTCAAAGTTCCACCGGTATCCCTCAAGGAACTTCTTGCCAGGGCACAGACAGATGTGGTAACACCTATACGGCCAACAAGAACCAGACCAACAAGATATTCCGCTAGGAAAGTCCGGACTAGGACCGTCGATGCTGATGCCGAAAACGAAGAAATTAATAACCGAATGGACGTTGATGATGAACTGGAACCCAACAACACTACTGAGAGCCTACTCACTGGGAGGAAACGTGGCCGACCGAAAAAGGGTGAGGATAGGCCAAAAGGAACGGTGGAACAAGCCACTGAAAATGATAATTCCTCACGGCCTTGGGTTTGCGAAAAATGTGGCAGAGCATGGAAAAATGACAATGGCCTGCTTTATCATGTGACCAAGTCAAAGACGAGTTGCAACCCATCATTTGATGTGTCTACAGTGACATCAACTCGACGTGGAAGAAAAGAATCAGTTATAGAAGTTGAAGATCAAGACACTGCGACACCTGTTGTCGACGAATCACAAGAGCCAGACCAACGAGTTGTGGACAACAAAGGAAGAGAAGAATCCCAGGATAAAGACAAAGGCCACGATAATAATGAGAACACTGGAAGAGAGGTTGGCAACAATGAAGGTGAAAGGGACGGAAAGGCTCGTGGCGAAGGCAAAGAACCAGGCCTAGAAAATGAGGATATAACAACACCGATGCCAGTATCGAGAACACGCGGCCCAATTGCAGCCCGGCCAACTTGGTCTTCACGGCCAACCCTAAGTTTCAAAGGAGAGGCATTTCAAGTCAACCCGGAATTACAACGACCTCCAGTTGCAATGTTCGATTCTCCTAAACAGCTCTCACTTATTAACGGTACTAATGGTGCCCTTGTACAAGGCGAGAACAGCCAATTGCGCCCGGTTCTCAGTTCGTTGGATCGATTCAGCCTCGCAGGAGCGTCTCCTAAGACGCCTCGATCGAAACTCCAAAGGAACGGATCTCATCCAGACCCAACTCCTCAAAACGAACAGCCTCAGCCTGTTCAACCTTCTGCCAATGGTACACCTAGCGCGGCAGGCTCTTCTGTGAAACCGAAGGCGCCTATGGTCACCG